CTAAAATGTAATAAGGTCAAAACATTAGGTGATTTGAGAACTGGAAGATCTAATCTAAAACAAACTTGTTGTATATGCATCTCATGTTTGCTTACCATAGCAAATATAAATAAGATGTATCTCTATGACTTCAAAAACTAGTATTTGCTCTGGAAATCAACTTTAAACCTTCAATCATTCCGGTGAAATCCAGCCTTAGGTTGAGATTAACTGTAACCTGAAAACGTGTTCAACTTCAGCACTAACCTATACAAGCTCAAATCTTAAAGGGAACAAGAAAAATACATTGACTGGTTACTGGAGAGCAACTAATTCTATGTTATCTAGTCCTGAGAGCTGACCGAACTTTGTCGATCATTTTGCAATGTGATCACCATATCGGGAGGTAAAATAATCGATAGGACTCGGTCAGAACTACACAAAATGAAATTGGTTGCTCTTTAGTAACCGAACAATGTATCTAATCCATTCCAACAGGAGGTCAATCACAGCCCGAATAGATCAGTGATAAAGTTGCTTACTACAAAACTGGCTGACGCGGGTCTGAATCTCACAGGGGACGCCAGTTACCTCGAGGTTGCGGATACGTCTTGCTGACGAGTGCCAAGAAGCACGAAACCTAGGTTAAGGATTTCCTGCCAATCGTCTCCAACCAATGAGTATGAACAATTTCCCACGTATCGATGAACACCATAAATGACAGTGGTCTCCTACCAGCTGACTATACATATCATATGCTAGTCGAAAGTCTGTCGGTGAGAAGTTCTCCTTGATAAAGCTGGATCATGTCATGCATGCATCTCCTCATGATAAATATTTTCATGCTACAAGTTTACCGAACAATAATAATAACGGTAATAATAATAATAATAATAATAATCTTCACGAAGATAAAACATAATCAATCCTGTATGCAATCGTATGAAAACACTAAAACATCATATAATTCTCTTTCACCTGTTGTTCTAAGTGTAGATTCGTTTGTATTTTATGCGTTATTCCATGAGGTAATTCTTTGTGCGAACAGTCAGCTGAACCAATGCACGAATTGTCATCATCATCACCATCCTTATCAACCTGTTCATCACTACTGTCAGCAAGACCGTTAGGAATACAGGTATACGATGCAAACGACGACTCTGAATCATTACAGTAATAGATTTCAGTATCAGCAGGATCTACTTCTTCACTGAATGCGATGACCATAGGATTTTGTTCAAACCTTAAGAGTAGGTGAGAAAAAGTACAACCATCTGTTCATTTGCATGTTAATTAAATCATATGTAGTTTCAAAGTAGTTTTCAATATAGACTTAAAAACAGTTGGAGAAATATGGAAAGTCTAAGAGCAGTCCAAGTTTAGGACTCCCGATAGATCTCACTCATGACGTCGTGAGGGATCGCGTACAGGAGCTTCATATTTTGCTGTGAGCGCGTTATCTTAGCATTAAGTACCTGGGTTGAAATTCAAGGTGTTTTTGCTTCACTCAATCCAATATATAATGGTCATACTATCTGATGATACCATCGGAATGTGTTTAACAGTAGAAACGATTTCTCTGACATATATCCAGTTTCTTTTAAATAAATGGTATCATTAATAGCAAACTGAAATTCAACTTGACCATGGAATATGAACAGAGATTTTAACAATTTATGTCAAAGATGAAGTCATATTGTATCGCCTCATAGCGGAAGTCTAAACGATCCTGAACACCAATTAAGATTTATAGAATAGGTTAATGGCAAAATCTTTGATTCTAGCACTGAATAAATACGCAGAGTAACACCTGTGGTCTCATGGCTGATAAATCGCAAGACGCGTAAAAATTAGATCATAAGGCAACTCAGCCTGCCATAACTTGTTTTATGTAGCAGGCTATGAGTCATACTTATTATGTGGTTGCTTATTATACTTCTCTGTTACTCAATCTAAAGTGGAGTGAGACTCGAAACTGCAACTCATTGATTAAAAGTCAAATGCAAAGGTTGATGGAGTACACAAACACATAAAAGTTTCATAGGTCATTTTGACATCAACTACGATCATCTGGCATTGAAGCAGCACACAATAAAGTTAGGTTGCTTTTCTGAATGGCATCACGAATTATTTTGTCAAGTAGATTTTAATCAATGCGACCTCCTAGCATGATTTGTACTCGGTTCACCTATGGTATTATGTGCTAATAATCATCACATTAAGATTACTCAACTAGGAGGTTTGTGAGGATTTATTTATTGATTTCAGGTTGGTATTCATCATGGATTTACATCAGTTAGAGAAACATTGGAAACCTAGGAGCACTGAACAGCTGTCTCGTCCTAGTATGAGACTCTCCAGCAGTGCCCACCCACGACCCCCCCCCCAAAGATTGAACCCAGGGCTTTCAGGTTCCATGGCCAGCACGCTACCACTGAGCCACTAAGTTGGAATCTCATGGTCTATATTCCCTAATTCTGTCAGTTCACGACATACCGCGACCTCCATCCAACGCTGTCGTTGAGTATCTGTCCTCATACCCAACTTGGTTGACCTAAATGGTCACGACTTCTTATAAGAACTTTGGGAATCACCTCTAGAAGCAAGTCAGCAATCAGCACAAGAATTACTCCATTTGGAGGTTGTGATGATTTATTTATCGACTTCAGGTTGGTATTCACTATGAACTGACATCAGTTGGACAAACATTGGAAACCTGGGAGCACTGGACAGCTGTTTCGTCCTAGTATATGACTCTTCAGCAATGCATACTCATAACCCTGCCAAGATGTATGATGAATACCAACGATTATGAATGGTAAGTGAATAGCAAGTGTACACCACTGTAGGCATAAAAATATAGAATACTGACTACTCATAAAAGTGTCACAACTGATACACTATTCTTTATACCGGATTAAGACTTAGGGAGTACAATTTGGTTGATACGACATTACTGTATACTGCATTTCATTTTAGGTAGACAGGAAACCCTGTTTGACCTAGGTTTCATGTTTATCAGTAGTCATCACCAAGGGGCATCAGTGACGACGTTGAGGAACTGCTGCTTTCTCGATTATTCAAACTCACTTCTCAGCAACAAAGAAGTTGCCGATGAGTTATTCAAGTTGCGAATGACCTCTCCTATAGGGGCACATGCCGAAGGAGAGAAAAGAGGAAAACTTACTCATTTGATGCATTAGGCTTTATTAAATCTACGTTTATTTCCATAGAGGTATTCTGATGATTCATATTAGATAACTTTAAAGAATCCTTTGCTTTGACTGTTTGGTTACTGCATGCGTGGAAGAACTGCCAACTATAGACAATACAAGAGAAAAAACATCAAATAGTGAGTGAAGTAAGTGTGACGTAAATCAGTACATAGACATAAAATGAACTAATATTATTCAATACCCAATACGAAGAAGAACTGGAACCAGTTCATTTTCAAAACAATTCAAATGAATAATGATTTCACTTTGCAGATCTTCTGGATATATATATATATATATATATATATATATATATATATATATATATATGCATACACATACAGAGCCCCAACTAGCTGCAAGCCAGAGACAGGTGAAGATTAACTATATTTGTTAATATCCTAATAACGATAAGTCAGTATAACTGGATGAAACAGACAGAAAAATTATCCAATGAATCAAGTAAAACTAAGTCCAGCTTAGCAGCTGAGCTACTTACTCCAGTCAGTAAACTATCCATCTGATGAAAATGTTGTGGCATACAGGTCTTGATGAACTATCACCCATCAACCTCGAACACGTACATTCGCCTATCTCACAAGGTTATTCTAAACCGTATAATCTGTTGTCAAAGGTAATTTCTCATTATAATATTGATTGCACCAAATTGACCATGACTTAGTAGCCTAGTTAATAACGCTTTGCGTTTAAAGCGGTCAGTGTTGATTTCAAGACTCAGTGGGGACAATACTTACTAGAAGGCGAGTAAATCCATTTAATGAGTCCCAAATTGGACGTCATGGTTCCCATTGATAGCCAATATTGATCATTAGTTTCGAAAATAATTCTTGTTGCAAGAGATCTATAAATTTACATTGGAGCAAGTTAACCACAAAATAGTAGTTCTTAGCGCAAAGTTACTTTGGATGACGTATAATATATTTCATCTAGAGAACCATTGAGAATTAGACCGCGCTAATTAGCTGACTCATACTAGTTGGAATGTCCTCAACAGTGTACATCCATAACCTTAGATGAGATTAAACCCAGAATTTCGCGGAGAGTACGTACTATTCATCTCTTGGATTGGAATGAAATGGTTCATACTTCTAAATTTTGTCAATGCACGCGACAATCACTTGATGTCACCAAACTATGGAATTACTTTGAGTTCATGCACTACCAACTTGCGATGCAAAATTTAAATTTTAAAATTTCGTCACAAATAAATGCATTCCCATTTTCGTCAGTGTGTGAAAATACCATGAATATTGTCCCGATTGTTACAATGATGGGTGATAAAATTGGTTACAGTTTGTCTTACAGGTGATTTTCACAAATTACATCAAAACTTCTTCGCACGTATGCAAAAGATAAACATGTTACTGTCGCACCTCTGACCCTTAGGATATACCATAAATATTACTTAGTTTGTATACAAAGTTATGTAATTTCCCTACTAGACCTGAGTGATTACCGATTCCGTATATCATATAAAGTACATATAATCCGATTGGTATCACAATCAATCATTAGGACGGAATCACATAAGCTTGTCGGACAACCTTTATATGACCTATAGCTGAGTGAAGAAATTCAGTGCATTGTACACGAAAACGATACATATAGACAAACAGACAGGCGAAATCAACAAAGAACCTTGTACAACTTGCTTCAACTTGCCACACTTCACAGTAGCAAGAAAAGAACAAGGAGACAGAAAAGTACTGATATCACAGTATACAAAGGTATATGGGAGGAGATAGCTAGTGAAAATATCTAAGCTTTAGAGGATGTTAGAGAATGCATACATCTGCAACATTGTGACCTATTTTCAGCAATGTGACTAGAGGTCACCTAGAGGACCTCGAGCTGGCAGGCTACACATTCCTACGTGGTTCAAACCAACAGTCAGATTCCATGAACTAGTCAAGTCTTGGTCTGAACACCTGAACTTTCGTCAAACTCCTGCTAGCATTGCACTCCAACGTAAGTGATGGTTCAGCATGAAAAGCACATATTCAAGATATCTCAGTCCCTGAAGGCTCACAATCTCGTCAATCAACTTGCCTGACTCCACCTTACCTCAACAATGCTCACCTAGTGATTACACCAAACGCGACCAACGATACGAAGACACTTGTGATCAAAACTTGTAACCACTTCATATTTTCTAATTTCAACGGCCACATCAAACAGCTGTATAACATGACAGACCTGTCTGTAGAGCAGTTAACGCTTTCTTCGATAGACTGTCGGATATCTCGCTAATCAGCGCCACAGGTGACGCAAGTTAGCAAATTCCAAACAAGCCTTCTGTATCCAAGTTGAGATTTTATCAGCAATCAACATGTTTTGGATGATGCAACTCCCCAAGTGAGTGAAGCAGTCGACACATTCTACCACCTCATTCCCCATCCTTGAAATAGGAGTAAGTGCAGACCTTTTGCGAAGCATCATCCTAAATTTTACAGGCGCGAAACGCGTACCAAATGTGATGAGATTGCGCTACGGGCATTTAGAAGAAGGATGTTCGTTGTTTGAAGGCAATCACCAGGAAGCCCTAGACCGAGGTCCCGTGCTTGTTGGCACTCATCAGCAAGGCATAATTGTAATCTACAAAGAAATGATATTCCTTCTGAGATTCGAGCTCCTATGACTCCAAGATACTCGGTCACGAATGATCCCCTGCAAGACTGGATTACTTACGCTGATTTTCGCTGGAGAGTAATCAATTTCATGCTGTTTAGTCCTGAGTGCTGGCTGAATCCTATCGATTATCTTGTGATGTCACCACCAAGCTAACAGGCTCACCATAGCAAAACACTTGGATGGAGGTCAGTTGGTTGGAGACACTCGATACAAAGCCCTGGTCCTGAGTGCTGACTGAATTCCACCGACCATTTTTGCAATGCAGTCATCCAGTTAGGAAACTCGCCATCGCGGGGAACCTTTACTAATTTTAGAGGTTTTAGGTGACACTCTAGTGACCAATCAATGTGACTATTCCAAGTATAAAGAAGGTTAATTGCGGCAGGAATCGCTCGGCGGAAAAGTCCCTGACTGCAACAATGGATGGCACAGGCTCGAATATCAGAAAGGGAATCGGTTCCTTCGAGTTTGTGTATATGCCTTGTTGATGATTGCTAACAAGCACGAAACCTCAGTGCAGGTGATCCTGCTGATTAGCTACAACAATGTAAGAAATTATCAAGAAATTTTGAAAATATGGTTGTTTCTAATGTTTTGTGTTTCACTACACACCTTTCGTGCCACACTGTTGTAGCATCAGTTATATTCCTTAGTCAAGTTAATATGGTAATCCGCCAGACATCAATTCACTGTACATCACTTTATCACATGATTCTTCTGGTTGCTAGGCCTTCAGAAAGAACAATGTGTTTCCGACTGATTTTCCGCTTTAACACTGCATTGCGTCTGGGAAAGAACATTCCTTAGCATAAATATAGCAATCATTTCACTGCAAAATAAATATTCGATAATTATACCCCAGAAATGTTCTACTTGGTAGCTACTAGATAATGCAGTTGGTATGGATACAAAAATTTGTACCACATTCAACAATACATGGTGTTCATTTCAAAAACATTATTTCTTACTGAAAATGAACGCATGGTCAGCCTAATTCCAATTGGTCATGCCGCGGTCAACTATGCAGTGAGCACACTGTATCTAGGAGAGTAGGCAAGTCAATACACTGATTTATCAACATCGATAGGCATTCATCTTTAACTCTCATTGAAATTTAGTTTAACTTGGAGGTTTTTGGAAAAAATGATTGATTTTAAGGGAGGTTTCATCATAGATTGACATTTTGAGAGAATCATTAAAACCTAGGAGAACTACACGGCCGTTTTTTCCTACTTTTGAACGCCTTAGCAGTGCGTAATCAATCCCTTATAAATCAGTCAATTCCAATTCTTGTAGTCCGCCGGAAGCATGTAACCGGTTATTAATTCCCATCTTCCCACACCGGGGAAATCGAATCTCAAAAGGTATCTGAAACGGAGAATGGATGTTTTACACAACCATAGATCCCAAGGGATATCCGCTTGAGGTCAGTCAAATACAGCGATTCCTGAAAGTTTGAAACTTAACTTTGACTATCTTAAATCATAGTTGAAATCCATACTACTAGTATCTGAAGGCAAAATGGAGTGTGCTATTTTTGAAACCGATCGTTTCTAAACCCCCTTCCCACAGAGGACGCAGTATCTACACAGACTGCTAGTTGTCCGTGGGAAACATCATACTGCTGTCAAATCGCCATCCAGCGGATGGCACGACGTCACTCACAGACCTCGATCATAGGGTAGCTATTTGCACCATACGCTAAATGTTTTTCTTAATACCACCATTCAACGGAAATATATGGTAAGGTAGGAACTTAAGGAACACCACCACTCGCTACAAACCTGGTAATTGAATAACAGTCCAGTGGCAGTTAGGGACTCGTTTGGAGACTGACTGAAGTTCTGGTGAGAAGCCTGCTATACCCTAATTTTGTCTAATATTTCTTATAACCTTAAAATAACTTGATCAATCCTTTTTTCGCACTGATGCTAGCTTTTATTTTTCTTGGTACTTCTGAAGGCTGAACCCTCACTGGTTGTTATTTATTAACTTATCAGTGCACTTGGTGCTTGTCAAGGTCATTTAGAATGTATACTTTTAGCATCACTTTCAACTGTTTTTGACTATTGTTGAGACAGCCAAAGCTCTGTCAACGGTACGTCTCCTCTTCTTGCCTTCGCGTGTCAGTGGTACTGTTGTGATGGTGGTTGATGTTCTGACTAGCGTATAGAGTCTATTCGATCTCACGTTAGGTTCGCATCACTCGTAGACTGTTAGGTCGCATTGCTGGTCATAGAAAAGCTGCGACCTGTGGAGTAGACGAAGATGAATATGTGGCCAAACGCTCGCAAGTGGCACTAAACGATGGTGGCGCTGTATCATGGACTGACAGAATCCTGGAAATGTGGGCAATTGAATTCCAACTCAAAAGGTGAGTGCTATCATGCATATCGCGAATCCTGACGGCTCCGGGTTTAACTTATCATGGCTTGATTAGCGCGAATTAATGAGGAGTCCCATACTAGTACGAAACAGTTTCGCAGCGTTTTCAGGTTTTCAATGATTTTCTGGCTGATGTCGATCCATGGTGAAAACCTGTTTGAAATCTGACTATTAGTGACCTGTAACCATGAAATAAAACGACTTTCAATGGTATCATCATCGCCATCGATCCACAGACTTCAATGGGTACCCAGGACTTGAGATCTACACTGACAAATATTCCGGCAGCGAATTTACATCTATGATGCAATCCTGCAAGGGTTTGAAATCAATTGAGCAAACTGTTTAGCAATAGTGTTTCTAACTGCAACAAACGATGATTCTTAAGAGTTCCCTCGAAGCTACAGATATACTGCTGTGATGAGTGCCAAGAAGTACGAAACTCAGGTCGTTATGCCTCCTTCTGCGTTTTACTGGTGCTGATATCTAAATAATATTTTCACCTTGATGCGGCGTGACATGAAGTGAAGCAGTTTGGACCGATAGGCAATTAAGTTCTTTTCTACAGATGGTTTTGCCTGCTAATCTGCAGCTTACTAACACAGGCGAATGCTTTACTTTGTTAGTACCTAATTAAATGATTGATTTTCCTTGTCTCTGGATTACGGAATATGCTAAAAGGGGTCAAGAGTTTCAGATCACCAAGTAAGGATTTCTAGAAATAAGTTCTTATTTCTCGGAAGTCACCATGGTAGTGTATATCTACAGCTTTAAGGGAACTCATAAGCTTCAAAGATGAATCTCCCAGTACTTCAGTTAAAAGCATTACCACAAAAAAATACCTGTTAAATTGAGATCAGACTCCTGTAAGACTGCATCATAAATATGAATTCGCCACGGTAATATTTGTCAGCGTAGATATCAAGTCCTAGATGCCGACCAAAGTTTGTCGATCTAGTGTGCAATAAAGTCTTTGAACTATATGACAAGATACTACAGTTTATTTGTTAGAAGCTTTTAGTCAACCGGTTGAAAGTGCTATAACAAACAGCTTTAGTAAAAGAGTTATTATTGAATCCTCATCAGTATTATCACCCGGCTACACATCTCAGTGCCATTATCAGTAATTGTATTCAGTCAATATTTATTAAAACACAATTACGATAATTTTTAGAAAAGAATTATTACAATGATTACCAATAATTATCAGGACAACAGTGTTCCTACTAAATAAACACACAAACGAATCAACAAAAACAACCATATTGACCAAGTAAGTAAACAAACCTGGCTATCAACGGATGCACACAACCGGAACATCTACATCTGAAAATCAATTTTATAGCATTTAATACTAGCTGAAAATCAAGTCAATCACAAGGTTATAGAAAGTAAGCACACGAACGAAACAAATATACACACAAATAGGAAACGCCAAAACTTCATCCTCATCAACAACACTAAACAAACCGTTCATAAACAAGAAGGATGAATGAAATCAGGTATATATGAATAAATCGACTTAGAATACTACTGTTCACAATTTCACTGGAATCTTCCCATCACATCATATACAACAGTGAAACGTTTATACTAGGTGAAACGAAGCAAGAACAAGAAAAACGAAAAACAAATTCGAAACAGGAGTTAATAAAACTGTGCATCAAGTTGCATGCTTGAATTCGACCTCGTGCCTTTTGAGATTCATAGTAATATATAAGACCAATCCAGTCCCAACCCAGTGATTGAGTGTTAATGTCCCTAGCGTGAGATCTGCAAGGTTCAAGGTTAAATTTCTTGCGTGGTTAGGGGTGCGCACTCCTGACGAGTCTCATACTAGGACGAGACAAACATCGAGTGTTCTTAGTTTTACAACAGTACCTTCAACTGATATCAATTCCATATAAGAAAAGCACTTATATCTGAATGTGCAAGAAACTGTTTCTCTCATGGAAACTCCAAGTTGTATCACTTTGTAAAAGTATCAGAAAAATCACCATCATATATATATATATATATATATATATATATATATATATATATAGTGCACCTCTTTATTGATGTTTTCCAAATGTGCCACTGACTGTAACATGAATCAATATACAAATTAGATACTTACTGATTATTACTCTTGACTGTTGATCTTTGAGTTGATGATAAAAGAGGATAATCATAATACTTTCTGATGATTAAACAATTATTTAAAATTATCACTGCATAACAAGAAACTATACTACATCTTCAAAGGTAATCTTTTTACTGGATCGGTACAAATACCTGTTGGAATATACATACATCCATTGTGCAGACAACTTAACGCTACATTCGATCATATAAATTGGTCGGATGTCTGGTAATGAAGATTTGTGGAATCCATGAAATGTATTTTATCTTACTTACGACTCAGTAGACGGAGGTATTTGCATCCCATAGAGTGATGGAAGAAAGAAAGAATCTTCAATAGTTGTATCTAATAGCAGTCAAGAAATAAGCAGTTATCACAGCAATAAATAACCACGAGTAGATAATGATTTGGCATTTGGAAAAGTGAGTGCTGCAATCAAGTCAAAATTGGAAACATCAATGCTAGAGATGCAGACACATGCAACTGAGAAGCACCACACTGGATGGATTCGAAGTGAATCGTAACCCACTCATGAAACTTGTGCAGAGTCTTGCGGCAGGCAATGAGCCACACTTATTGTACGAAAGCTATTGATACTACCTGGCAGTTCAAACCTCGGTAGGCTGAGTGGAATTTGCACCCGTGACCTATTGGTTAGAAGTTAGCCCCCTAAACCCATGAACTATAGTAGTGAAATCCACTATCAGTCACTATTATATGGGATCACCAATATTTGAATTTGCAATCTATGCTTTGATTTGTATCCATTACACGACAAAAGATGAGACCTTTGTTTCATCACATTCAGGTAAAACATCTTAACCACATTGAAAGGTGAATTACGGTGAAGAGAAGAAAAATATAAAATGCGATAGGCATGAAACAAATGAAGTATCTTTTAACTGGGTTACAGGTGAACACACAACACTTCAAGTCAGATCACTGAATCAATAATTGTATGGAATAACCAACAGTTAGAAATATGATTACGGTATGGTGCAAACAAATTAGTCGACAAAAAAAGGGCTAACTTGCCATTATCAATTATCGCAGAAGAAGAATAATTGCTGGTGATGGTCGAGATAGTGGATGATGTTGGACATCCAGTTGTTTTCGTTTCAGAAGAATCAGCATAACTAAAACTAATGGAACACATTTTTTTGTATATTTGGTTTCTTTTCTCTCATCATATATTGCAATAATAAAGTAAAAATAGACGTTATGAGCATAACTGGAAGCTATAAAACTACTGCGACGAGAAGAAAGAATGGTATTGGAGAGGAACAAAACTGGCTTATGGATGAGTTTCTACAGTCTCTTCTGTGATGAGCGAAGATATGATTAACCGACGAATTAGGCTATACTTCGAGAAAGTTTTCAGCTTAGCGTGAAGATAATGGTTGATTGGTGATCCTCAAGGCGCTGCCACTTAGATACGAACGGTTCACTATCTGACTCGATAGCTTCATCAGGGCTTAATATTCTGGAAGAAGAGAGGCATTCTTTTGGTTGCAGGAATGATCAGTGGACAATCCACCAAAATATAAACTCTCCCAAAGTAGACAAACATTCTACATAAACAGATATTACCAAGATGGCTTCACTTTATACGTAAAGTGTGAGCTAATGAAGATATTTGACCTAAAAATGAAACCTCCACGGGCAAATATCACAACCCAGAAGTCATCAAACTACCAATTATCAATATGCTGCAATTTCGTGAAAAAACCGACGAAAAAGGGGCGTTCAAATAAGGAAGATTCCTCAATGTACTGGTAGTGTGTAATGATACAAGATGGGTAGACAAAAACGTTTGTGACAACATATGGTCTTTAGCAATAAATTATAATTCCTTCCACACCTATATAAGGGACAGTAGCAAGATCTCATAGAATATCGGACTACTTCGTGCAGCAGAGGACCAGTATTTTGAATATAAAAATTGTTTCTCTGGACGATTAAGTATTGTTGAGTATTCGCAGATAGCAGGTCTGTCTAAGCTAAACTGTTTAGGTAATTAGATGGTCATTATCAAGAGATTTAAGCCGCAGCAGAGAAGCTGCTCATTATTTCCACCGACATTTCTCTCATTTGAGTACTTTTTACATAGCCAATCAACTGCCATCTAGACAAACTGAGACATCTGAAAAAACATCTTCACGAACTTATTAGATAGCCTGGCTGGGTTGACGCGTGAGAGCAGTAAAAAATTTCGCATAAGTTTCTTCCAGCTCAGATAAACCTGATAGAGATCTGGGATAGCCAAGAAGAATACTTCCAGTTCTGAAAAGGGAATTTCAAAATACGCATTATGGCTCTCAATGTCCATATTCTCGGTCAAATCGCACAACAGACTCCGCTAGCCAAAACTCTGCCATCTCCCACCATCCATCTGTGCTGTGTTTCTCAGATACGCATACAGCATCCAAGTGCGGTTATTCACTTAACCTCACCCGACCAATATGAGGAATCTGCACAATTCAGCTTTCCACTATCTGCAGATTCCATGCCTAATTCTCGCCATCTTCCAGGTGTACCTATAACACTAAGTCCTAAGACAGAAAGTCCACTTCTATACTTCATCCTAGTTGACAGTCATCTGTGCGCTGTTCCACTGAACGGTCCAGTGAGCACTAAAACGAATAGTGATCTCTGCTGCCTACCCACCCAATGACTACAGTTCAGTTGAAGTGAAACATCACTTCCACCGAAAACTATCTAGCCTCCTACTGAAAGCCAAACATTCACACGTGCTCGTCCTATCACGTGATTTCCATGCAAAAGTGGCTACACTAAGTCAGATAGAAAGTCACTCAGCTGGCACCTTCCGAACACCACCCGAACCAGCCACCAACGACGATCACCTGCCACAACTGCACTCAGAAAATCATCTATTTCTCGCCAGAACGAAATTCAAACATAAATAGAGACATTGTCTTACATACCATTCTCAGACTTCATCTCAACAATGGACACACATTGACCATATCAACTATCGCTAGAGAAGGGAGGTCGGAGAGCGCATACTTACATACTGGTCACGTGATGTCTCGAACATGCGTATTTCCGCACCTAAATGGAAATGGCCAAACTACACCAACAAGGTCATCAAGAAAACAGCTCGACGATGAGAATACTAAGGATGCCTCCACCAAGAAACTGGTTAGACAGTTATTCAAACACAACAACATCACTCATCTACAAGAAGCCTGGCACCACCCTATCTCAACTCTGCTCTGAAAACAGTCTCAAAGACTCTAGATGACTCTCACAAAGTGGTTAGATACCACAACTGGATCTAACCACCTTCTGCTGAATCAATGGATGTGCTTGAACACAGTCCTGCAGGCTCACAGCAAAATGAGGAGAGCAAACAACACAAATATAGACCAACAAGAAGTTGACACAATGACCGCAAGCAGTGCTAGGTAGCGAAGACTGAAGAGAAGGAACAGGCAGTGACGAATTAAAATTATCAAGGAAACCGGTAAAAAGTGGTTGGTGATTAGTTTGAGATATCACCGGATGAAAAGAATGGGTCTGTGATCCACTCGCAACGGAGACGAATGAAACAATAAGCAAAACACTTCAAGGTAAAGAATACTTCAACTGGCCTCCAACTACTACCCTGTTGCTCACTATCCAATCCGATCCAAAATCCAGTATTCAAATGGGCCTCCAATACTTGCAAAAGTCGAGAAAGCCGTAAGCAACCTGAAACCAGCAGGTCCAAACGGACCAGTACCCAAGCTATTCACTAAGCACAGTGGTCGTGGATTATCGGTCAAGTTAACTCGAGTCTTAGCCAGTGTATGAGAGTCAGACATGATCCACACTGACTAACTGCTCTCAAC